TGCATTGATGTACGGCTGTGTTTAATTAGTCATGGTTATGTTATATAGTCATGTATTCATGCGTTTAAACAATTAGTTCGTTTTTGATGGATGTAAGTATGTGTTTACTGATTAACTTATTTTTCTGCATGAACAGACATACACTTATATACACCCACATATGCACATATATTTATATACATATATATATACACATATGGTCTGGGGTCTGCCCCCCCCAATGCTAATGCCATCGGGGCCCCCCTGCCCCGCGCGATAGTCCCCCCCCCTGTGGGCGTGGCGTGGTGGGTGCCCCCCCCCCTGTGGTGCCGTGTGGGGTCCCCCCCTGTGGGTGTGCGGTGGTCAGGGGGGGGTCCGCCTCAGCCAAGAGTCGCTGTCGCCGCCACCGCCGCCGCCGCCGCCGTCGTCGTCGTCGTCGTCGTCGTCGTCGTCGTCGTCGTCGTCGTCGTCGTCGTCGTCGTCGTCGTCGTCGTCTTCGTCGCCGCCGCCGTCGTCGTCGTGGTCGTCGTCGTCGTCGGCGGCATCGGCAAAGGCATCGGCATACGCATCGCCGTCCCAGGCATGACGTAAAACTGCTACACTTGACGAAGGGGAAGTGCCACTGCAAACGTCCATCACAACCGTCATCAGTCTGGGTTGGCCTCTTCTGGTGAAGTCAAATGCGCGCTCAATCTGGCGTGCGCCCGCAGGTTAAAAGCCGGGAGGGAACAGATGGCGTCCTCGGCACAAGAAGAACTACCTTATTTTGAGCGTGCCTAAATTCGGAGAAACTCGCGCCAATTCTTTTGTTTGCTTTTTTGGACGTTTTTCTTCCGTAGACATGCGGCCCTCCGTTGTCATGTAGCGTTCGTGGCGTGCCGGTCAGCGCAACCGTTGTGGTGTTTCTGCATGTTCTTGGTTTGCCCTGCGCTCTTTGGCGTCGTCGTCGTCAACGTCGTCCCCCCCACCATCCCATCTGGGGGGGGGGTCCGTGGGCCCGAAGCCCAGGATCATATTATACATATATATATATATATGTATACACACACATAGATATGTTTGTATCGATATCCTGGCCTGATAAGAGAGCCTCCCAAGAGACCCCAAGAAGCCCCTAAGAAGCCCCTTGTCCACGACCCAGGCACAGCTGCGGGATGAGCCGAAGGCCACCACATCTTGCCCCAAGGGTTTTTGGCGTGCAAACGTTTCGAATAGTTGCTTGCCCTTCCAAAAGGTTCCCCAGTGGCCTTCGCCCGATTCCACCGAAAGGTACACTCCATCGGTTGCTCTAACCGAGTGGCTTCAAGATGGTCCAAGATGGCCTCCAGATCGGTCTCCAAGATCCCTCTAAGACGGGCAAGATCACCATCAGAGAGTCCAAACTGGGCGGACATCCCAAGATGGCTCCAAGACAGCCCGATATGATCCCAAGACGCCCCAAGATGGCTTCCAGACGGCCCAAGAGGCACCCAAGATTCCCAAGAGGCCTCCAAACAGGAGACTCCGAGGAGGCCAAACTCACTGACTTGCCCCTGTGTTAAATTGGCTTTCGCGTTCTCGCCTTTTTCAAGCTTCTGGAAGCAAAAGACGGCCCCAGAGGCCTCCAAGATAGCCCCAAGACGGTCTCAGAAGTACCAAGACGGCCCCAAGGCAGCCCCGATACGGCCCAAGACGGCTCCAAGACAGTCCGGGACAGCCTCAAGACGGCCCTAAAGAGCCCCCAGAGGGCCCCAAGACGGCCCATGTAGTTCCCCAACGCGGCCTCTAAACCCGAAGAGGCCCCTTGGAGGCACCTTAGAAGCCTCTGGAGGCCCCCAAGAGAGCCCCAAGAGGCCCCAGGAGGCCCCCACGAGGCTCATTGGAGGCCCCAAAGAGGCCATCAGGAAGCCGCCGAGGAGGTCCCAAGAGGGTCCCAAAATGCCGCCTCCTCCTTCTCCTCCTCCTCCTCCTCCCCCTCCTCCACCTCCTCCTCCTCCTCCTCCTCCTCCTCCTCCTCATCATCATCAGCATCATCATCATCATCATCATCATCATCATCATCATCATCATCATCATCATCATCATCATCATCATCATCATCATCATCATCATCATCATCATCATCATCATCATCATCATCATCATCATCATCATCATCATCATCATCATCATCATCATCATCATCATCATCATCATCATCATCATCATCATCATCATCATCATCATCGTCATCATCATCATCATCATCATCATCATCATCATCAGCATCAGCATCAGCATCATCGTCATCATCATCATCATGATCATCATCATCATCAGCATCATCCTCATCCTCATCCTCATCTTCATCCTCATCCTCATCATCATCATAATCATCATCAGCAGCATCATCATTACCAGAATCATCATCAGCAACAGCATCATCATCAGATTCATCATCTTCATCATCATGTTCTTCATCATCATCTTCATCATCATTTTCATCATCATCATCTTCATCATCCTCTATCCCTTTCCCTTCTGAAAAAAAATATCCCTGTCGCACCCTAAGATGTGTCGGTAGGGCGGGCTGGGCCATTCGCCTACGACTTCCTCTCCATGTACGACCTTGAAGCTTAATGTTGGCTACAGGTTCACGGATGGAGGGCAGGTGGTTATCTCAACACGTGCCTCTCGCCGTAACGCCGCGCGCATTCGTCGTTCGTTGTTTTCAAAGTGTCACGGATGGATGGGGGTCATTTTCTAAATGTGGTTCTCGCCTTTGCGCCGCGCACATTCGTCTTAAATGTAGCTCTCCAAGCGGTTCTGCAAAGCAATTATTTTGAAACAGTTCTTCAAAACGGTGTTTTTCAAAGTGTAGCTCTCTCCCTAGCGCCGCGCACATTCGTCTGACAAGCTCGCAACAGATTCAAGGATTCGTACGGCTGCAGTCCCAAGAATTGTGATCTGGCACGGCTGAGGATCGTCAGAACGGAACAGTCACTTTGATTCGCCATGTTGAAGTCCCAGAAACTGTCGAGGATTGCCCGAACGCAACAATCACTTTGATTCGCCATGTCGAAATGCCAAGAATGGTGTTCTGGCACGGTTGAGGGTCGTCGGGATGCAACAGTCACGTTGATCCGTGGTGTTGAGGTCTCAAGTATTGTGTTCGGACAAGATTGGAGATTATCCGACGGTTGTCTTATCATGGGACACTTCCCGCAATGAAAAGAAGCTCGGTAGGGACCTATGAAGATGGAATTCAGGGGGGAGGGTTTCTCGTTACATGGTTGATGCTTCTTGCGTTTGCTCTGTTCCTCCTCCTCCACCTCCTTCTCCTCGTCACTCGCCTCCTCCTCCTCCTCATCTTGAACCCCTCCCCCACAGTGTTCCCCGCTTTCCCCCACGGGGTTCCACGACGGACGGGGGAACTTTGCTGTCGGCGGCGCGGCAGAGGCAGTCCGCACCAGCTGCGGGGCTAGTCGGGGCAACCGAAAGGCGAACCGTCAGAACGGACGGGGGAACACTAGGAGAACAAAAAGTGGCATAAACATAAAAACTCGGAGGTCCGCGCGGATTTCTCGGATCGGCGCTGGACCCCCCTCCCTGGCGCGCGGAGCGCGCCAGGGGCGGCGCCGGAGGCGCCGCCGGGGGGCCACAGCACCGATCCGAGAAATCCGCGCGGACCTCCGAGTTTATATATTTATGTCACTTTTGTTCCCCTAAACACGTGGTCCACTGCCCTGGCCAAGCTTTCACCCGAGGCTTGGCCACACCGGCGTTTCCACAAAGGCAGGCGGCGGCGGCTCGCCGCAGGCGTCTTCGACAAAACCTGCCAAGCCAACCCCTCTTGCTCGAAAAAGGGGTACTCGGTAGTCTGGACTTGCGAGCACGGTGGCCTCTCCAAGAAATTCCCAATGGTCTCTTGCCAATCCCGCCGGCAATTTCAAAAGTACATCCAGTGGACTTTGCCGTCCAAGACGGTTCCAAAATGGCTCCAAGATGGCAAGGTGGCCCAAGATGGCCTCCAAGACGGCCCAAGAAGGTCAGAGGCCCAAGATGGCCCAAGATTATACCAAGTAGCCCAAAGATGGCTTCCGAACGGCCCAGGAGGCACCCAGGATACCCAAAATGCCTCTAGGAGGCCCTCAGGAGGGCCCGAAGATTGCAAAAGCCAAAATTACTACTTGTCCGTCCTTCTCGCCTTCTCGAGTTTCCGGCAGCCGAAGACGGCACAGGGGCATCCAGGATAGTCCCAAGGGCGGCAGAAGAAGATACCAACAGAGCCCCGAAATGGGCCAAGAGGCCCCCAAGGTAGCTCCGAGAGGGCCCCAAGACGGCCCAAGAGACCTCAAAGGCGGCCCTGCAGCGCCCGAAGAGGCCCCGAGACGGCCGGGCATCAAGGCGGCCGTCGAAGGCGCCCAGCGGGCCGAGAGGGCCCTACGACGGCCCAGGAGGCCCCCACGAGGCGCCAGAGGCCACGAGGATGTCCCCAAGAGGCCCCCAAGAGCCATCAGCTGTTGCCACAGGGGCACTTCCCAGAGACAGGGGGCGACTGTGGCTCGCCGTGGGCGCCTTCTAGACAAGCGCGTTCCACTACTCGCAAAGTAACTACTAAATGGCCTGGACCTGCCATCGGGGATTTGCAATACCTTACGTCGAGGCAGAAGTATGCGTTTTTTTCAGACGTCTGCGAGCAGGCACTCACGCGCCCCGTGGTCTTCGATCACGTCCCCGCACATAGCCACCAACTGCCGGCGGAGATGCTGCCGGCCCCTCCTCGAGCGCCACGGAGAGGGGCCGGGAGCGGCGCCTCCCGAGTGCCGTCCAATCCGCCTCGGCCGCCGCCGGGAGCGGCGACGGTGCCCGCGTGGGCAGCCCGGCGCAGCGGGAGATCCCGGACGCCAAACGCGCAGGGCGACTGCGACCGAACACGCAGCACAGCACAGCAACAGCACCGCGGTGCTCCATCTGCCCCCCCCTCCTCCTCCTCCTCCTCCTCCTCCTCCTCCTCCTCCTCCTCCTCCTCCTCCTCCTCCTCCTCCTCCTCCTCCTCCTCCCCACCCCTCTCCTCTCCAGGGAGCCGCCGCCTACTCTTCCAACACGGCAGGTCCAACGCCGAATCAAGACTATTGGGCACTGGCTGAAGGGCCAGCCATAGAAAAACGGGCCACTCGACCTCAGGCATGGGAAAATGGCACAGGCTCGGACTTCCTCATTAATCGTACTAAATGCGCCGACGTCAGCTGCGCCAACCGGCTGACAACAGCGAACCCAGCTGACGGCGTTTCTTCGAGGGCGACTGACAGGTTAGCAAAAGGTATTGTCAAGACCTGGCAATTACACGAAGCAGTGCACGAAGTGCTCCAAACGGCTTTGCCTTTTCCGAGGCCGTACTCTGCTGCACCAATCACTGCCTTAGATGAAAGGTGCTGCACAAGTACTGGTGAGCGCTCCTCAAAAACAAACACATCGCCTTTCTCCTTGTTCAAATGATGTGTCGGAAGCTTGCAACCCTCGTCTGCTCTCTGGCTCCTCATGAGCACCACTTTCCCATGCAAAACGAAGATGAGCTCCAGTGCTGCGGAACCTTCCACAAACAACTGCTCGCCTATCATAACTTTGTGTATAGCGACAGCTGGTACCAATCGTGACACCACGGCGGCAAAGTCTGGACCAAGCCTATTTGGCACCATGACTGCGAAAAATGATTCCAACGCCCTGTAAGGAGATGTTTCTGGCAAGGGATCAGTCGGTACTACAGTAGATGTCCTTCTAGTGATGCTCGCTACACTGTACGCTGCTATCAATTCCTCCTCTGCCCACGAAATTGCTTCCTCGGCCAAGTGAGCGTCCAACTTCAAACCATGAACGCATTTAGACTTCACTGCACTTTCGACTGCCAGACGTAAGCGTCTCACCATACCAGAGAAGCAGACCCTGATCGGCACATCTCGACTCATGCACTGCGACGCAAAATTAGTGAGGTAGTGAACACCGGACGCATCGACTGCAGGCACGTGTTCGAAATCAATGACAATGTATCGGACCGTTTGTTTCTGTTCGATGAACGCTTCTACTTCCTCTACGACACCAACGGCACACCCAAAAAAAATATACCCAGTGAGCCAGAACACGGTCACCCGATCCCCAAAGCGATCAAGCAAAGACATCTCGTCATTCGGTCTGTCCATGTTCGAGCGGACCTCGTCCAAACTAGCTTGCCGAGTGATGCCAGTCATGCCAGCGTACTCAACGATGAAAAAAACAGCAACTGCGCTCAAGCCAAAGCAGAGACCTGTCAACACATCGAAATAAGTCACCACCGCTGTAATCAAGACAAAACGCAACTCTGCGGGGGCGATGCGCGCACGAGACTCTGCAAGGGAAGACCTAATAAATTCAAAGCCAAGCGAAGAGACAAGGCCACCAAATGCGCACCGCGGGATCGCAGACAATTGCACACGAAGGTCAGACAAAAAGTAAAGCAACGCGAATGAAACACCAAGAAGTAGGCTCCAGAGCTTGGACGTGCCACCGGCATCTTGCATCACAACCAAAACCTTGATAGAGTGGCAACATGGCACGGCACCCAGAAAGCCGACGAGCACATTAGTCGCTCCCATAACCATTATCTCCGTCCTTATTGACATTGTCTTGCCAACCCAGCTCATATCAACCTCCGCGAGAGCAGACGCATAAAAAGGCCAGCAGATAACATGCATCACGGCATAGGAGACAGTGAGTGAAAGCACTGGCGTGTTCAAGAATGCAGAGGGTTGCAAATAATGAAAACGAGCGGCTAATTCTCCCCAGCTCGCTGTCCACGGGTCGGCTGTGAGTCCCTCGATGAAGAAACCATTTGACGCTAGAACAGAACTGTCAATACCCAACAACGCTGCAATCCCATGTACAAGTAGTGTCACGACCCCAAGGCCGACAGGGAGCCTCAAGCCGTTGTGTATGACATGCGTGATCGATAAGATCACTCCACCTGCAAGGACTGTTGCCGAGGCATGCAAATAAGTCAGAAGAGGGATGCTCCCTACTCCAGTTACAAGCTCCTTCATACCATGGCCAGAGCCTAGCTCGAAACCACCATCCATAATCAAAAGCCCAATCCCTGTCACGAACCCACTGGACACAGTGTACGGTAAGAAGCGCAGGTACCACATACCATCAACACGCGCCAGAAGACATAAGCAAAGACCTACGAGCACAGAAAATGCCCCCTGGCCTATACAAAGATGGACAAACAGATCTCTCTCAGACACGAATGGGCGAAGAAGAATGCATAACTTCGCAAGAAATGCTGCTGTCAGCAAGTCGATGTTTGTGCATGTCCGAGTTTGCGAGAAAGCCCAATAACAGAACGTACCCACCGTCTGGCTCATCATCACAGTGGAAAGTAACAGAGGGAAGTCCGCCTGGAGGCTCGCATTTGAGGACACAATGACTCCAACAAAAGCAACCGCGAAAGGTACAAGTAGTAATGGCCCAAGGATAAGGCTTAACACATCTCCCGCATGGAACTTGCGAGAGGCATCAACACCTGCTGAGGTGCTGGCCAGTAACCTCGCGGCTAACCTCGAGTCAGGGCTGCACGGAGGCGTGGGGATTGACCTCTCCTCGGCCAGCACCTCCATCGTGCGTTCGCTGCCGTATCCAAAACTGATGGCACCACAAAACTTGCTTGAGCTACCGCGATCCAATCCTTGAGACAAATTGGCTCGAACCTCAAGACTGCTGAGGACCAGTTATACGCGGAGATCTCGGGCGAAAGTGAAAACGGGACGCCACAGGAGTCTCAGCCA